ATGTGGAACCCTGAGGAGAAGGTGTCCAATTAATTAATGAGATTATTTAATTCCAGCTTTTGAGGAACCTCAGGATACCCAAAAAATCTGGTTGAGGTTTGGGACCGAACCAGGGGAGTTATGAGTGAAATTGGTGAGGATTTTGGGATGGGCTCTGGGCGACCGTGACTCTGCTGGAGTGCGGGGAAGACCTCCAGCCCCCCGGGGGGTCCCTGACGTTGCTGTGCTGAGGGTCCGGTTTCGATTTCGGGAGTTTTGGGATGGGCTGGGTGCGACAGAGACCCGGGCAGGGGATGGAATTTGTCGCAAGGATCAGTGACAGTGGAGGTTACACCGAGTACGTGCCATCGGTCAAGGGCCGGGTCACGATCTCCAGGGACAACGGGCAGAGCTCGGTGACGCTGACCTGAACAACCTCAAGGACAAGGATTCCGGATCCTATTTCTGTGCCAAAAGTTGGGATGGTTGTTGTGGTCCTGCTGCTGGTAAAGACATTGATTGTGATGATGTTGGTCACGGTGGTTTTTTCTGAGTCCTCAATTTTGAGTTCCCTCCTCCCCCAAAACCAGACACTTCCCCCAAACCTCAGCCCTTGACCCTTTGTCCCAAATCTCCCCCATTTGCACCAATGGTCAGCACTGACCCCAAACCCTCCACTGCTCCTTCCCCAAAACTCAACCATTGGCCCCAAACCTTCACCCCTGGCCTCCAGTTCAGGCCTCCTCCAATCAGGGCCCGGGGAGCTGGGGGAGATTTGGGTGAAATGGGCAAAACTGGGGGAAAGTCGAGAGTTGGGCAGCAGGGGCAGAGTTTGGGGGAAAAGGGCTGAGATTTCAGGAGAAGGGCTGGGATTTTGGGGAAGGATCAGATAATTTTGTGATACTTGGAAACGCAGAAAAAAGGGCTTGGGACCACAACCACCATCAACACCATTAGCATAAGTGCCATTACCACAGCCACTGCTGTAACATTTGGCACAGAAATAGGATCCGGAATCCTCGTCCTTGAGGTTGTTCATGGTCAGCGTCACCAAGCTCTGCCCGTTGTCCCTGGAGATCCTTACCCGGCCCTTGACCGATGGCGCGTAGCCGGTGTAGCCACCAGTGTTGCTGATATCTGTAATGTATTCCAGCCCCTGCCCAGGGCTCTGGTGCACCCAGAACATTTTATAACTCCCGAAAGTGAACCCGGACCCTCGGCAGAGGAGGCGCAGGGACCCCCCGGGGGGCTGGAGGTGCCCCCCGCACTCCAGCAGGGTCACGGCCGCCCGGAGCCCTGCGGGACAAAGGGGAGATGGGGATGGGAAACCTGATTTGTCCAAAGCCCCAAACTGGGGGTGGTTGGCTGGAAAAAGGAGCGGGACCCACCTGGGACTCTAAGCAGGAGCAGCAGGATGAAGTTGATGGAGAGAGCAGAGGGTCAAATTCTGGGTCAAAGAATCAGGATTTTGGGGTCAGTGGTTGAGCTTTGTCCATCCGCATCTCCCCTTTTTCCCGCAGGGCTCTGGGCGGCCGTGACCCTGCTGGAGTGCGGGGGGGACCTCCAGCCCCCCGGGGCGTCCCTGACATTGCTGTGCCGAGGGTCCGGGTTCAGTTTCGGTGATTATGGAATGTACTGGATTGGCCAGAGACCCGGGCAGGGTTTGCAATACGTCACAGGGATCCACTACAATGGCGTCACCATCTGCGAGCCATCGGTCAAGGGCCGGGTGACGATTTCCAGGGACAACGGGCAGAGCTCGGTGACGCTGACCATGAACAACCTCAAGGACGAGGATTCCGGTGTTTATTTCTGCGCCAAGTGTGATGTTTATAATTATGCTGACGATGCTGGTCGTAGTGACCATGCTCAAGGTGTCCCCACACCCATCCCCTTATCCCCCCCTGTCCCCGTTGCCCAGACCCTTCCCCCAAACCCCCAGCCCACACCCAGCCCTTGGCCATTGATCCCAACCTTGCTCTGCCCCGGCCCCAATTCTCACCCGCTGACCCCAAACCACAACTCCTGACCCCAAATCTCCAATTTGTGCCCCAAAACTTGATTCTGAGAGTGGATACTTCTGGTCAAGGGTTATGATTTCGGTCAACTTTGTGGCCAAGAGTAGAGAATATGGGGTAGAGCCAGGGCAGGGTTGGGAGATTGGGTCAGAAATGGGGTCAGGGGCAGAGTTTGGGAGAAGGGTCTGGGGAACCGGGAGAGGTGGGGACGCAGCCATGGGGATGGGGTCAATACAATCAGCAGCAGCACCCCAAGTATCATAGGCAGCTTTCCCGCAGAAATAGGAACTGGCATCCTCATCCTTGTGGTTGTTCATGGTCAGCGTCACCGAGCTCTGCCCGTTGTCCCTGGAGATCCTGAACCAGCCCTGCACTGATGATGCGTAGGCGTAGCTGGATCCATCGTTCTTGATCGCTGCGACGTATTCCAGCCCCTGCCCGGGTCTCTGACGAACCCAGAACATTCTGAAACTGCCGAAACTGAACATGGACCCTCGGCAGAGGAGGCGCAGGGACCCCCCGGGGGGCTGGAGGTCCCCCCCGCACTCCAGCAGGGTCACGGCCGCACGGAGCCCTGTGGGACAAAGAGGAGATGGGGATTAGGCCAAAGTTCAACCCTTGACCCAAATCCTGACTCTTGGCTCCAAACTTTGACCCTTGGATTTCATCATCCTTCTCCCAGATGGGTCCTGCTGCTCCTGCTGCTCCTCCCAGGTGGATCCCAACCCATTTTCCAGTTTAACACGCCTACTTTGATCTCACTGCCAATCAGGTTTCTCATCCCTATCTCCAGCCCCCCGGGGGGTCCCTGCGCCTCCTCTGCCGAGGGTCCGGATTCAGTTTCGGACGAACCAGTCTGATGTCGATCCGCAAGCGGCCTGGGAAGGGCCTGGAATACATTGCAGGGATTTATTATGATGGAGACACCAGATACCTGTCATCGTTCAGCGGCCGAGTCAGCATCTCCAGGGACAACGGGCAGAGCTCTGTGACGCTGATCATGAACAACCTCAAGGACGAGGATTCCGGATCCTTTTTCTGTGCCAAAACTGCTGATAATAATTGGGATGCTGCTGCTGCTGCTGCTGCTGCTGCTGCTGCTGATGGTTTTGCCCCTGTTCCCATCACCAAGACCTCCCCAGTCCCCAATCCCAGACCCTTCCCCCAAACCTCAGCCCTTGACCCTTTGTCCCAAATCTCCCCAATTTGCCCCAGTGGTCAGCACTGACCCCAAACCCTCCCCTGCTCCTGCCCCAAAACTCAACTATTGGCCCCAAACCTTCACCCCTGGCCTCCAGTTCAGGCCTCCTCCAATCAGGGCACGGGAACTGGGGGAGATTTGGGTGAAATGGGCAAAACTGGGGAGACAATCGAGACTAGGGGAAGGATGAGGCAAAGTTTGGGGGAAAATGGTGAAGATTTGACACAAAGGGCTGGGATGTCGGGGAAGGATCGCTGGGCATTGGAGACATTTTTTGACCAACTTGGGGGTGGTCCGCTGATAGAATTGCCGCCAATAAGAGCAGGACCAGAAAAACCATAATCATTACTGCTATGTTTGGCGCAGAAATATACGGCGGAATCCTCGTCCTTGAGATTGTTCATGGTCAGCGTCACCGAGCTCTGTTGGTTGTCCCTGGAGATCATGAACCGACCTTTGATTGATGGCGCGGGGTGGGTGGTGCCAACACCATTGATACTTGCGAGGTATTCCATTGTTTTACCAGATTTCTGGCCAATCCAGAACATTCCATAATTTCCGAAATCGAACCTGGACCCTCGGCAGAGGAGGCTCAGGGACCCCCCGGGGGGCTGGAGGTCCCCCCCGCACTCCAGCAGGGTCACGGCTGCCCGGAGCCCAGTGGGACAAAGGGGAGATGGGGATGAGGCCAAAGCGCAACCCTTGACCCAAATCCTGACTCTTGGCCCCAAACTGGGACCTTTGGACCACCCCATCCTTGTTGTCCTGATCCTGCTGCCCCTCTCAGGTGGGTCCCGCCCCATTTTCCAGTTTGACACACCCACTTTGAGGCCCACAGCCAATCAGGTTTCTAATCCCCATCTCCCCTTTGTCCCGCAGGGCTCCGGGCGGCCGTGACCCTGCTGGAGTGTGGGGGGGACCTCCAGTCCGCCGGCGGGTCCCTGCGCCTTCTCTGCCGAGGGTCTGGGTTCAGTTTTTGGAGTTACGACATGTTCTGGATCCGCCAGAGACCCGGGAAGGGGCTAGAGTGGGTTGCGAGTATCTACAGCAGTGGTGGCAGCTCCTGGTACGCCCCATCAGTCAGGGGTCGGTTCACGATCTCCAGGGACAACGAGCAGAGCTCGGTGACGCTGACCATGAACAACCACAAGGTCGAGGATTCCGGATCCTATTTCTGTGCCAAATGTGTGGATGCTGGTTTCTATGATGATTCTGCTGGTGCTGAACGTTTTGACCCCATCCCCATGGCCGTGTCCCCCCCCTGTCCCTGCCCCCCAGACCCTTCCCCCAAACCCCCAGCCCACACCCAGCCCTTGACCATCGATCCCAACCTTGCTCTGCCTCGGCCCCAATTCTCACCCGCTGACCCCAAACCACAACTCCTGACCCCAAATCTCCTCTTTGTGCCCCAAACCTTAGCTCTGAAGGTCAGGGTTTGAGGCCCAGGGTCCTGATTTGGGGTCAAAGGTTCACGACTCATATCAGTGGTAGTGGCTGGGAGCACAAGTAGGGATTTGAGGCAGAATCGGGTGAATTTTGGGGCCAAAGCAGTTGGGTTTCGGGCAGAACCAGTTTGGGGGTTTTGGCTCAGTGGTTGGCGTTGTTCGAACTGGGGAAAATCTGGGACAAAGGGTCAAGAATGGGGTCAGGGGCTGAGATTTGGAGGAAGGGTCTGGGTATTGGGGACAGGAGGGGACGCAGTCAAGGGGAAGGGGCCAAGAGGAGAGACATCATAACCCCAACTGGCACCAGCAGCCTTGGCGCAGAAATAGGATCCGGAATCCTCATCCTTGAGGTTGTTCATGGTCAGCGTCACCGAGCTCTACCCATTATCCCTGGAGATCGTAAACCGACCCTTGGCCGATGGCGCGTTCTCGGTGTAAGCACCATTGCTGTAGATCCCAGTGAGCCACTCCAGCCCCTGCCCAGGTCTCTGGCGGATCCAGAACATTCCAAAACTCCCAAAATTGAACCCGGACCATCGGCACGGCATCATCAGGGACCCCCCTGGGGGGCTGGAGGCCCCCCCCGCACTCCAGCAGGGTCACGGCCGCTCCCCCATCCACAAACCTTCACCGGTTTTGCCCCAAATTCCCTTTGTTTGTCCCCAAATCTCCAACAGATGTATCCTGAAAGGTAAAGTGCCTTAAACCGAGCAATGAGCCCCAATCCACCCATTAATTACTTGGACACCTCTGCCTGACTTTTGCATCGCCTCATCCCTATCTCCTCTTTGTCCCACAGGGCTCCGGGCGGCCGTGACCCTGCTGGAGTGTGGGGGCAACCTCCAGCCACCCGGGGGGTCCCTGACGTTGCAGTGCCGAGGGTCCGGGTTTGATTTTGGCCATTTTGGGATGGCCTGGATCCGCCAGAGACCTGGGCAGGGGCTGGAGTGGGTCAGAACCATCACCAGCAGTGTTGGCAGCACCTGGTACGCGGATTCCGTCAAGGGCCGTTTCGGGATCTCCAGGGACAACGGGAAGAGCTCGGTGACGCTGACCATGAACAACCTCAAGGATGAGGATTCCGCATCCTATTTCTGTGCCAAGGACACCGATGGTCACAGTGCTTATGCTGATGCTGGTTGGGGAAGATGGAACAGCAAAGCCTTATCAATATGAGTGCCTGGCAAAAGATTTTGAGAATATGGAAACCATCAGCAAGATTGAAATGAAAGCAAGCTTTGAGATCCCAGAGTGATTGAACAACAGGAAAACAACGGTGTGGTCACCTGAAGGTGATCCCCTTTTGATGGAGCAACACCCTCTGATTGCAGACAGGCCCACGGGTCAGAGCGACCTTACAGCTTGGCAGAAGGGGCCAAAGAGGAGATTTTAGAGTTTAAAGTTACTACAAAAAGGAGTTTTCGGGTTTAAAGTTTCTCCAAAAAGGTGTTTTTAGGGTTTAAATTTGCTCCAAAAAGGAGTTTTAGGGTTTCCAACGAGTCGGTTTTAGTCTTAGCAGAAGGGTCCCAAAGACCAATTTTTAGGGTTTAAAATGTAACACAGTATGGTAATGAAACGATTCTTATAGGCTGTATGTAAATGCTGTAGGGTTTGTATATTGGACCAGATTGGTTAGTGAGAATTAGAATATTCTACAGAGAAGAACATTTATTGTATTGTGGTGGGAACCTCACTCTCTTACCCTTTTATTCTCTTAGAGTTTTATGTTCTTACCCTTTTACACTCTTACCATTTTATTCACTGACTCTTTCACTCTCTTACCCTTTTTATTCTCTCACCCTTTTACTCATTTAGCATTTTTACTCTCTCACTCTCTCACCCTCTCATCCTCTCTCCCCTCTCTTCTCTCAGCCCTGCTCCAGCTGTGCCTGGCAGCTCCCAGCAGGGCCCTGCAGTTCGTCCTCTGCAATAAACCGCAGATGCCATGACCTGGCTGCAGAGATCTCTCATGTCCGTCCGTCTGTCCTGACCGTTCCGTGCCCTGATGCTCCTGCAGTGCTGGTTGGGGAATGGGGCCAAGCCGGGCACATCAATAGCACCAGCATCAGAACTGCAACCACCAGTATAAGCACATTTCCCACAGAAGTAGGATCTGGAATCCTCGTCCTTGAGGTTGTTCATGGTCAGCATCACCGAGCTCTGCCCGTTGTCCCTGGAGATCCTGAACCGACCCTCGACCGATGGCGCGTGGTAAGCGCTGCCACCCTTGCTGATACTGGCGACTGGCTCCAGCCCCTGCCCGGGTCTCTGGCAGATCCAGAACATGGAGAAACTCCCAAAACTAAACCCGGACCCTCGGCAGAGGAGGCGCAGGGACCCCCCGGGGGGCTGGAGGTGCCCCCCGCACTCCAGCAGGGTCACGGCCGCCCGGAGCCCTGCGGGACAAAGGGGAGATGGGGATGAGGCAAAAGCTCAACCCTTGACCAAAATCCCGACTCTTGGCCCCAAATTGGGACCCTTCGAGTTCATCATCCTCCTCCCAGCTGGGTCCAGGCCCATTTTTCTAGCTGGCCTTGCCCACTTTGAGGCCCTCGACCAATCAGGTTTCTCATCCCCATCTCCCATTTTTCCCGCAGGGCTCGGGGCGGCCGTGACCCTGCTGGAGTGTGGGGGGGGACCTCCAGCCCCCCGGGGGGTCCCTGCCCCTCCTCTGCCGAGGGTCCGGGGTCAGTTTCGGCAGTTTTGGGATGGGCAGATACCAAGGAATGCACTGGAGTACGTCACAGAGATCAACACTGGTGGCAGCACCGGCTATGCGCCGTCGGTCAAGGGCCGGTTCACGATCTCCAGGGACAACGGGCAGAGCTCGGTGACGCTGACCATGAACAACCGCAAGGATGAGGATTCCGCCGTTTATTTCTGTGGGAAATCTGCTGATACTGGTGCTCCTGTTGCTTTTGCTGATGGGGACCTGCAAAGTCCTGGTCTCACCATCATCACTGCACCCCCAGCTGTCCCCGTTCCCCAGACCCTTGCCCAGCTCCCACCCCCTGACCCAGCCCGTGACCATTTCTCCATTTCCCTTTCCCCTCTCCGGCTCCAAACCCCAACCTTTGGCCGTTGATCTTTCCCCAAACTCGGCCCAAAGGTCAGCGCTAGGCCTGTGGCTGGGGACACGAATTCAGTCACCGAGAGCAGGGACGAGGGCTGGGATTAAGGGGGAGGGTCTGTGGTTTGGGGACATTTGGGGACACAACGATGGGGGTGGAGGCAATAAAAAAAAAAAAGAAATTTTTTTAAATTTTAATTAATGATTTCATTTTACTTTTAAATCAAATTCATTTTAATTTTAATATTTTAAAAATCCATTCATATAAATACGTATAAAGAATACGCTGCTATGAATAAAAACAAATAAAAGTAAAATACATTTTTTGTTATTAATGAAAATAATAAAAATAAATCTTAATAATATCAATTTAATCAAAATGCGAATAATGAAAAACGAATAGATTGTAATAAAAAAAAGTAAGATAAATAAAAACAACATAAATTACATTGAATTATTTTATTTTATTTCACTGAATTTTATATTTAATTTTGAATTTTTTCAATTTTCCATTTATTTGATTACAATTCTTTTATTCCCTTTACTTCCATTTTCTTTCATTGATCCCCAAAGGTGAAAAACGAAAAGAACGAAGAAAACCCAGAAGAAAATGAAATTCTTCATTTTTGATTAAAATAATATTAATTAATAGCGATTAATAAACGGTCATTGACTTTAATCGATGTTAATAAATGTTAGCGAGGAAGGAACCTGGCAAAATATTGAAATAAGAAATAAAAATAATAGAAATAAAACCAATAAAAATAGAAATAAAATGAAATAAAAAATAATATTTACTGTATTATTATTATTATTATATTTATTATTACTGTATTTATTACTATAATAATAATAATAATAATAATAATAATAATAATTATTATTATTATTATTATTATTATTATTATATAAATTAAAAGTATTGTCATTCATAAACCTCAAATAAACAAAGTTAACAAATTAATGATGGAAGTAATTAATTAAAAATATAATTTCAATAACAAAAATAATATAAAATAAAAAATAATATTTTATTGTTTTAGTCTATTATTGTTATTATTATTATCAATAAATTTACTAATTTTATAATTTATTATTATTGTGACTATTATTATTATTATTATATTTATTATTATTACTATTACTATTATTGTTATTATTATTATTATCAAAATAAAAATATAAATTAAAAGTATTGTCATTCATAAACCTCAAATAAACAAAGTTAACACATTAATGATAGAAGTAATTAATGACAAATAGAATTAAAAAAATAAAAAAATAAAATAAAAAATAATATTTTATTGTTTTAGTATTATATAATTATTATAATTATTATTATCATTATTATTATCATTATTGTTATTATCATTATTAACATTATTATGATTTTGTAATTTATTATTGTTGTTATTATTATTATATTAATAATTTATTATTATTTTTATTATTATTATTACTATTATTATTATTATTATTATTATTAATAAAATAAAAATATAAAATAAAAGTATTGTCATTCATAAACCTCAAATAAACAAAGTTAACAAATTAATGATGGAAGTAATTAATTAAAAATAGAACTAAAAAAAAAATTTACTTTAAATTGAAATTCATTTAAATTTAAAATAATTGAATTTACTGAAACTTTGTTAAACAAAAAGGAAATAAAACAAAATAAAACTTCAAATCAATTAAATTAGACTAAAATAAACTCAATAAAAAGAAAATGAAATAAAATAAAAAATAAAATAAAATAAAATAAATTTACTTTAAATTTAAATTCATTGAAATTTAATTTACATAAATTTGGTAAATAAAAAGGAAATAAAACAAAATAAAACTAAAAAAAAATTAAAATAAAATAAACTCGATAAAAATAAAATAATATAAAATAGAAATAATCTAAATTAAACTAAAAATTAATTAAATTAAGTTAAAGTAAATAAAATCGTCATTAAATTCAAAAATTCACCTGGAAACCAATAAAAACAGAAAATCACAAAAATCGGAATTAAAAGTCCCAAAATTGGCAAGAATTAAAATTCAATAAAAATGAAAATTAAAAGGAAAATTACAATTAAAAGTAAACTTTTAATGAAATTAAATAAAAATAAACTGACCGACAAAATTTACAATATGATTTAGTTAAAAGTGGAAATAAAAATATAAATTTTAAAATAAAATGAAAATTATCGATAAAGTAAATATATCATTTAAAATTAAAGCAAAATAAATCAAAATCAAAAAGAAATTTAAAATAAAAAAGAAAAAAAATGAAATTAAAATTAAAATTAAAGTAAAATAAAATTAAACAAGATAAAATAAATATATAAATTTAAAAGGAACTTAAAGGTAAAATTCAGGCTGAAATTCCATTTAGAAATTAAGATAAAATTGAAAACACAATAAAAAAATAAAATTAAAATGATGTGAATAGGAAAAAGAAAATTAACTTCAAATAAATTTAGAAATAAAATTAGAATGGAAAATAGAATAAGAAATTAAAATGAAGAGAAAAAATAAAATTAAAATTGATATTAAAAATATGAAAAAAATTCAAATTGAATTATAGTAAAAAATAAAATTCCAAAAAAAATAATCATTAAAATAAAATTATTATTTTATTTTATTTTTTTGAAATTTAAATTTAATTGAAATTTAATTGGAAAAGAAAAGGAAAATTAAAAGAAAAATAAACTTAGTATGAAATTAAAAAATGAAATTATACTCACAATTGTAATTAAAATTTAAATAAGTTCAAATGAGTTTAAAATGAAAATACAAAATAAAAATTACAAATAGAAATAAAATTATATTGAAATTAAAGTTTAAACTAGATTTAAAAATAAAATCACTATAAAATTAAGTTAGAAAATAGAAATAAAATAAAAATAAAAGTAAATCAAACTTAAATGAGAATAAAAAAAGAAAAAGAAAAGAAAAGAAAAATCAAATAAAAGAAAAATAAAATTAAATGAAACTAAAATAGGAATAAAAAAGAAAAATAAAATAAAATAATGAATTAAAATGAAATAAAATAAAATATTAAAATAAAATAATAAAGTAAAATAAAATAAAATATATAAAGTAAAATAAAAAAAATAAATTAAAATAAAAAAATAAAATAAAGTAAAAAAATAAAGTAAAATAAAGTAAAATGAAGTGATAAATTAAAATAAAATAAAATAAAATAAAATAAAAGAATAAATTCAAATAAAATAAAATAACATAATAAACAAAATAAATAAAAATAAAATAAAATAAAATAAAATAAAATAATAAAGAAAAATAAAAAAAATTAAAAAATATAATAAAATAAAATAAAGTAAAAAAAATATTAAATTCAAATAAAATAAAATAAAATGAAATAAAATAAAGTTAAATAAAATAAAATAAAATGAAATAAAATAAAATAAATCAAAATAAAATAATGGAAAATAAAATCAAATAATAAATGAAAATAATATAAAATAATATATTAAAAGAAAAGAAAAGAAAAGAAATTATAATAAAATAAAATAAAATAAAATAATAAAACGAAATAAAATAAAATAAAATAATAAAATAAATAATAAAATAAAATAAAATAAAATAAAATAAAATAAAATTAAATTAAATTAAATTAAATTAAATTAAATTCAAATTCTTCACCCCAAATCCTCATTCTTGGCCCCAAATCTCAGCTCTTTGCCCCAAATCTTGCTTCTTCACCCCAAATCTCAACCTTACACCCCAAATCTCAACTCCCGCCCCAAATCTTCGTTCTTGGCCCCAAATCCCCACTCCTGGTCCCAAATCTCAGCTCCTGGACCCAAATCTGCACTCGTAGCCCCAAATCTCAGCCTTTGGCCCCAAATCTTCATTCCTGGCCCCAAATCTTTGTTCTTAGCCCCAAATCTTCGTTCTTGGTCCCAGATTTTTGTTCTGGGCCCCAAATCTCCACTTCTGACCCCAAATCTCCACTCCCGGCCCCAAATCTCCACTCCCGGCCTCAAATCTCCATTCTTGGCCCCAAATCTTCGTTCTGGTCCCCAAATCATCGTTCTGGGCCCCAAATATTCGTTCTGGGCCCCAAATCTTGCCTCTTGGCTCCAAATCTTCAATCTCGGCCCCAAATCTTCACTTCTGGCCCCAAATCCTCATTCTTGGCTCCAAATCTCAGCTCTTGGTCCCAAATCTCAGCTCCTGGACCAAAATCTTCATTCTTGGCCCCAAATCTCAAACTTTTGCCCCAAATCTCAGCTCCTGGCCCCAAACCTCAGTTCTTGGCTCCAAGGCTCAACCAAGGTCCCCAAACCTGGGTGCAAATGGTCGAGATTTGGGGAAAACGGGCCAGATTTGGGTCCGTGGGGGTCAACAATGGTGTCAAGGTTAGGAGGGAAGGACCTAGGGAACGGGGATGGGGACGGGACCAAAATTAGAACCAGCAGGAGGAGCCTCCCAACCTCATCCATCATAGGCGTTTTTGGCACAGAAATAGGATCCGGAATCCTCGTCCTTGAGGTTGTTCATGGTCAGCGTCACCGAGCTCTGCCTGTTGTCCCTGGAGATGCTGAACCGGCCCTTAACCGACAGCACGTATCTGGGGGTGGAACCATCACCGTTGATCCCCGCGACGTATTCAAGCCCCAGCCCGGGTTTCTGGCGCATCCAGAACATTGCAGATTTCGTGAAATTGAAGCCAGATGCTTGGCACAGAAACGTCAGGGACCCCCCGGGGAGCTGGAGGTCCCCCCCGCACTCCAGCAGGGTCATGGCCGCCCAGAGCCCTGCGGGACAAAGGGGAGATGGGGATGAGGCCCCGGATCCAGGTGTGGGTCCGGCTAGGGGTGACCAGATCCAAAACGGGTCCTCGAGCCCCCTGGGAGGGCCGGCAGGATCGGGAGGAGGAGAAAGTGCCACCATTTGGGGCCAACACCAGGATCTGCATGCAGGAATCAACATTTGGATGGATTTTTTCCCTCATCCCCATCTCTCCTTGGTCCCGCAGGGCTCTGGGCTGCCGTGACCCTGCTGGAGTGCGGGGGGGACCTCCAGCCCCCCGGGGGGTCCCTGCGCCTCCCCTGCGGAGGGTCCGGGTTTGATTTCGGGAGCTACGACATGTACTGGATCCCCCAGAGCCCCGGTCAGGGACTGGATCGGCTCATGGGGATCACCAACACTGTTGGCAGAACCTACTACGCGCCATCGGTCAAGGGCCAGTTCAAAATCTCCAGGGAACACGGGCAGAGCTCGGTGACGCTGACCATGAACCACGTCAAGGACGAGGATTCCGGATCCTATTTCTGTGCCAAGGGTGTTCATGCTGGTTATGTGGGTCCTGGTGCTAATTTAGATGACACCCATGGTGGATCCAAGTCCCCACTACAGTGTCCTCTCCTGTCCCCAATCCCCAGACGTTGCCCCTAACTCCCAGCCCTTCGCCGCATTCTTGACCCTTTGTCCCAGATCTCCTGCAGTTCCACAAGACAACCATGGAGCCAAAACCCCCAAGCGGGTTCTGCCCCACATCCAACTAAGTTTGCACCAAAGTCGCCCGATTCAGCCCCAAAACCCCACTTAGCGCTCCCAGCCACAGGTGCTGACACGAATCCTCAACCTTTGTCCCCAAATCGGGGCCCTGGGCACAAAACCCTGAGCTTCAGAGTAAAGTTTGGGGCACAAAGAGGAGATTTGGGGTCAGGAGTTGTGGTTTGGGGTCCGCGGGTGAGAATTGGGGCGGAGGCAGAGCAAGGTTGGGATCAATGGTCAAGGGCTGGGTGTGCGCTGGGGGTTTGGGGGAAGGGTCTGGGGCGCGGGGACAGGAGGGGATGAGGAGATGCAGATGGCAGGTTAATCAATACGAGCAGGACTAGCACCAGTGTTATATGATTTGGCACAGAAATAGGATCCGGAATCCTCGTCCTTGAGGTTGTTCATGGTCAGCTTCACCGAGCTCTGCCCGTTGTCCCTGGAGATCCTGAACCGGCCCTTGACTGAATCCGCGTACCAGGGACTGCCACCATTGTTGCTGATATCTGCAATGATTTCCAGCGTCTGGCCTGGTCTCTGACGGATCCAGGCCATCCCAAAACTCCCAAAACTGAACCCGGACCCTCGGCAGAGGAGGAGCAGGGACCCCCCGGGGGGCTGGAGGTCCCCCCCAGACTCCAGCAGGGTCACGGTCGCCCGGAGCCCTGCGGGACAAAGGGGAGATGGGGATTGGGCCAAAGCTCAACCCTTGACCCAAAACCCTGACTCTGGTCCAAATTGGGACCCTTGGAGTTCATCATCCTCCCCCCAGGGGGATTCTACTCCTTTGTCCGGATGGCCACACCCACTTGGGGGCCCTTGACCAATCAGAGTTTTGATTTTCATCATCTCCCCTTTTTCCCGCAGGGCTCCAGGCGTCCGTGACCCTGCTGGAGTGCGGGGAGGACCTCCAGCCCCCCATGGGGCCCTGACCTTGCTGTGCCAAGGGTCCGGGTTCGGTTTTGGGAGTTTTGGAATGATCTTGATCCGACAGAAATCTGGGAAGACGCTGGAATACATTGCGAGTATCAGAAGTGGTGCTTACACAGATTACGCGCCGTCGGTCAAGGGCCGGTTGACGATCTCCAGGGACAACGGGCAGAGCTCCATGTCCCTGACCATGGACAACCTCAAGGACGAGGATTCCGGATCCTATTTCTGCGCCAAACTTGGTACTGGTAGTAGTTACGGTTATGATGGTGCTGCTCTTAGTGACAGTTCCGGCAATGGTCCCACCCGCCATGATGGTCACCAAAAGTCCCCAATCCCCGCAGATCCGTTCCCAATATCCCAGACCATCTCCTCAGATGTTCACCATTTACCCCCAAACTCTGGCATTACTGCCCCAATTTCCGACTTTCTCCCAATTTTGCCCGTTTCACCCAAATCTCCCCCAGCTCCCCGGGCCCTGATTGGAGCAGGCCTGAACTGGAGGCCAGGGGTGAAGGTTTGGGGCCAATGGTTGAGATTTGGGGCAGGAGCAGGGGAGGGTTTGGGGTCAGTGCTGACCACTGGGGCAAATGGGGGAGATTTGGGACAAAGGGTCAAAGGCTGAGGTTTAGGGGACAATTTGAAGGAAGAGTCTGGGTTTGGGGACAGTTGAGGACACCGAGATGGGGATGGATCCACCACGGCCATCGTCACTATAAGCAGCAGTACTACAAAAACAACTATCAGCACGTTTGGCACAGAAATAGGATCCGGAATCCTTGTCCTTGAGGTTGCTCATGGTCAGCATCACCGAGCTCTGCCCGTTGTCCCTGGAGATCCTGAACCGACCGTTGACCGATGGCGCATAGTACGTGCTGGAATCACGGCAGCTGATGCTTGCAATGTATTCCAGCCCCTGCCCAGGTCTCTGGCGGACCCAGTTCATTCCAAAACTCCCGAAACTTAACCCGGCCCCTTGGCAGAGGAGGCGCAGGGACCCCCCGGGGGGCTGGAGGTCCCCGCCGCACTCCAGCAGGGTCACGGCCGCCCGGAGCCCTGCGGGACAAAGGGGAGATGGGGATGAGGCCAAAGCTCAACCCTTGACCCAAATCCTGACTCTTGGCCCCAAACTGTGACCCTTGGATTTCATCATCCTCATCCCAGGTGAGTCACATCCCATTTTGCAGCAGACCACACCCACTTTGACCCCACAGCCAATGAGGTTTCTCATCCCCTTTGTCCCGCAGGGCTCCGGGCGGCCGTGACCCTTCTGGAGTGCGGGGGGGACCTCCAGCCCCCTGGGGGGTCCCTGACGTCGCTGTGCTGAGGGTCCGGGTTCGATTTTTGGGATTATGGAATGTACTGGATCTGCCAGAGACCCGGGCAGGGTTTGGAATACGTTGCAGGGATCTGGAGCAGTGGTGGCACCATCTACTATGCACCATCGGTCAAGGGCCGGTTCAGGATCTCCAGGGACAGCGGGCAGAGCTTGGTGACGCTGACCATGAACAACCTCAAGGACGAGGATTCTGCCACCTATTTCTGTGGGAAAGCTTCGTGCTCTGGTTGTGTTCCTAGTGCTGCTTATGTTGACAATGCACGTTATGGCCTCCAGCTCCTGGTTCTGGCGCCACTCCCATCATTGAGTCCCAAGAGTTGTGATTTTCGTCCCAAATGTAACCCATTGACCCAGCCCTTTACCCTTTGTCCCCATTTGCAACAATGGTCAGAACTGACCCCAAACCCTGCCCTGCTCCTGCCCCAAAATTCAACCATTGGCCCCAAACCTTCACCCCTGAGCTCCAGGTATGACCTTGCTTTCCAAGAGTTCCCATTTGTGCCTGTGGCAGCCCAGCCAATCAGGGCCTGAGGAGCAGGGGGTGATTTGAGGACAACGTGGAGATTTGGGGTGAATTTTGGTGCCAACTTACTTTGGTTTGGGGCAGAACCAGTAAGGGCTTTGTGGCTTTGTGGTTGGCGTTGCTGGAAATGGGGGAGATCTGGGGGAAAGGGGTCAAGGGCTGAGATTTGGGGAAGGGTCTGGGGACTGGGGACAGGAAGGGCTCAGAAATGGTGGTGCCACGACCGGCAGGGTCAATATCAGCAGCAGCATCAGCACCACCATCATAAGCATATTTGGCACAGAAATAGGGTCCGGAATCCTCGTCCTTGAGGTTGTTCATGGTCAGCGTCACCGAGCTCTGCCCGTTGTCCCTGGACATCGTGACCCGGCCCCTGAACGATGGCGCGTAGTAGGTGCTGCCTTTGCTTTGGATCCCTCCAATGTGTTCCAGCCCCTGCCTGGGTCTCTGGTGCATCCAGGCCATCCCAAATTGTCCAAAATTGAACCCGGACCCTCGGCAGAGGAGGCGCAGGGATCCCCCGGGAGGCTGGAGGTGCCCCCCAGGACTCCACCAGGGTCACGGTCGCTCCCCCATCCCCAAACCTTCACTGCATTTCTGCCCCTAACTCCCTTTGTCTGGCCCCAAACCTCCAACAGTTTTTTCCAGTATTTTAAACTGCCCTCAACTCTGCAATTAGGCCCCATCCACCCATTAATTAATTGGACAGCTCTGCCTGATGTTTCCATCTACTCATCCCCATCTCCCCTTTGTCCCGCAGGGCTCCGGGCAGCCGTGACCCTGCTGGAGTGCGGGGGAGACCTCCAGCCCCCCGGGGGGTCCCTGCGCCTCCTCTGCCGAGGGTCCGGGTTCAATTTTGGCAGTTTTGAAATGGATTGGGTCCGCCAGAGACCCGGGCAGGGGCTGGAGTTGGTCGCGGGGATCAACACTGGTGGACGCACCGACTACATGGGTTCAGTCAGGGGCCGGTTCAGGATCTCCAGGGACAACGGGCAGAGCTCGGTGACGCTGACCATGAACAACCTCAAGGACGAGGATTCCGGATCCTATTTCTGTGCCAAAGCTGCTGCTGCTGGTTGGGGTAATGGTGCTGCTGATGGTTTTGACCCCACCCTTATCGCTATGCCACCCCTGTCCCCGTTCCTCAGACCCTTCCCCAAACCCCAGCCCCTGACCCCATTCCTGTCCCTGGGCCCCAACCCTGCCCTGGCCCTGCCCCACATTCTCAGCTCCTGGCCCCAAACCTCAGCTCGGGGCCCACTCAGGGCCATTTTGGCTCCTGGGCTGGCTCCGGCCCCTCTGCCAGGATCCCTGGGCTGAACTCGCCCAACTCCACCCAAATCTGCGCTGCTGCCCCAGAGCAGCCACCACTGACACAAATCCCCAATCCTGACCCAAATTGGGACCCTGGGCCTCAAACCCCGACTTTCAGAGCAAAGTTTTGGGGCACAAAGAGGAGAT